ACATGAAGGCAGGTTACAGAGTGCTTGCGTGGGTGTCAGGCATGATGACGTCACGCCAGTCACTAGTGATGACGTCACTGGGCCTTGTGACAGCGCTCAAGTCGTTACTCTCTCTAAGACGTTTCGTTTGATATACATGAAGGCAGGTTACAGAGTGCTTGCGTGGGTGTGAGGCATGATGACGTCACGCCAGTCACTAGTGGTGACGTCACTGGGCCTTGTGACAGCGTTCAAGTTATTACTCTCTCAAAGACATTTCGTTTGATATGCATGAAGACAGGTTAGGACACTGCGTGCGTGGGTGTCAGGCATGATGACGTCACGCCAGTCACTAGTGATGACGTCACTGGGCCTTGTGACAGCGTACAAGTTATTACTCTCTCAAAGACATTTCGTTTGATATGCATGAAGACAGGTTAGGACACCGCGTGCGTAGGTGTCAGGCGTGATGACGTCACGCCAGTCACTAGTGATGACGTCACTGGGCCTTGTGACAGCGTTCAAGTTATTACTCTCTCAAAGACATTTCGTTGATATGCATGAAGACAGGTTAGGACACCGCGTGCGTGGGTGTCAGGCGTGATGACATCACGCCAGTCACTAGTGATGACGTCACTGGGCCTTGTTACAGCGTTCAAGTTATTACTCTCTCAAAGACATTTCGTTTGATATGCATGAAGACAGGTTAGGACACCGCGTGCGTGGGTGTCAGGCATAATGACGTCACGCCAGTCACTAGTGATGACGTCACTGGGCCTTGTGACAGCGTTCAAGTTATTACTCTCTCAAAGACATTTCGTTTGATATGCATGAAGACAGGTTAGGACACCGCGTGCGTGGGTGTCGGGCGTGATGACGTCCGCCACTCACTAGTGATGACGTCACTGGGCCTTGTGACAGCGTTCAAGTTATTACTCTCTCAAAGACATTTCGTTTGATATGCATGAAGACAGGTTAGGACACCGCGTGCGTGGGTGTCAGGCGTGATGACGTCACGCCTGTCACTAGTGATGACGTCACTGGGCCTTGTGACAGCGTTCAAGTTATTACTCTCTCAAAGACATTTCGTTTGATATGCATGAAGACAGGTTTGGACACTGCGTGCGTGGGTGTCAGGCATGATGACGTCATGCTAGTCACTAGTGATGACGTCACTGGGCCTTGTGACAGCGTTCAAGTTATTACTCTCTCAAAGACATTTCGTTTGATATGCATGAAGACAGGTTAGGACACCGCGTGCGTGGGTGTCAGGCGTGATGACGTCACGCCAGTCACTAGTGATGACGTCACTGGGCCTTGTGACAGCGTTCAAGTTATTACTCTCTCAAAGACATTTCGTTTGATATGCATGAAGACAGGTTTGGACACTGCGTGTGCGTGTGATAGGCGTAATGACGTCACGTGAATCACTAGTGATGACATCACGCGGCCTAGTGCCAGCATTCAAGTTATTACCCTTTCAAAGACGTTTTGTTTGATATGCATGAAGGCACATTAAAGAGTGCTTGCGTGAGTCTTAGGCGAGATGACGTCACGCCAGTCACTAGTGATGACGTCACTGGGCCTTGTGACAGCGTTCAAGTTATTACTCTCTCAAACACGTTTCATTTGATATGTATGAACTCAGGTTAAACGCTGCGTGCGTGGGTGTCAAACGCGATGACGTCACACGAGTCACTAGTGATCACGTCACTGTGCCGATTGACAGCGTTCAATTTATTAGCCTCTCGAAGACGTTTCGTTTGGTATACATGATGGCAGGTTAGACATTGCGTGCGTGGTGATAGGCGTGATGACGTCACCTAAATCACAAGTGATCAAGTCAGTTGGCCGAGTCATAGGTATCACGTCATTGCTCTCTCAAAGACGTTTCGTTTGGCATGCATGTCGGCAGGCGAGTAAATAACGTGCGCGGGTGATATTTGTGATGACGTCCCCTGAGGAACTGGTTATCAGGTGACTTGGCCGAGTTTTAGGTATCAAGATGCCGCCCTTTCAAAGACGTTTCATTTGATATGCATGACGGAAGGTTAAGACAGTGCGTGCGTGGGTGATATGCGTGAGGACATCACCTAAGTCACTCGTGATGAGATCATTGGCCTGGTTAATAATTATCAAGTTATTACTGTGTGGACGGCTTTTCCTTTGATATGCATGTCGAAGGTGTGAATAGTGCTTACGCGGGTGATAGGCGAGATAATGTCGCGCGAGTCACATTGTGTCACGAGGGACTCATTCATGGTTTTTCCCTGTTAAATTCACTCCAAAGCTATTCACTCCACGCATTCCCGAAAATTCTGGGTCGTTTTGAAGTCACGATGTCATCAGGATTAAATTCGCTGGCGTCCGGATTAAATCGGCTGGCGGTTGGATTAATTTCAGTGGCACTTGGATTAAAATGAATGACACCTGGATTAATTTCAGTGGCGGCTGGATTAAATTGACTGGCGCCTAGATTAATTTGGCTGGCGCGTGGATTAAATTGAGCGGGAAAACCTGTAGTACCGATGCCATAATCTCCACTGCCTGGTGTCCCGCCTGCTTCTTCCCTACCTTTGCATTAAAGTATCCCGTCTGTATAGTATACTGTGTTTTTACCGTACTCATGCCGATTCCACGTCTTCATAGAAGCTTTCAACTGAAGCGTCATCATGGCTGGATGTAGGCGCGTAAGGCTGTACCACCTTTATCTTGAACCCCACTCCCAGTTCTCTTCTGTCAGCCAAGCCCCGATAGCAAAGGACGTGCCCATTGCGTAGCACCGTATAGGCCTCATCTGTCCTACTAACCTCACAGAGCCCTATTATATCCCATTTAACGCCCTCTAGCTCCTCGAATAGTACAGCTAGACTTCCCTCACTAGATAAGGTTCTAGCGTTAAACGTTGCCAAGTTCAGGTTCCAATGGCGGCCTGTCCGGATCCAGAGATTCTTAGCACCCTCTGCTGCGTTGCAGATCTGAACGCCGCCGTGGTCAGTTGCTTCGCAGCTGCTGGGGACTGAGGGCCGTGAGTTATTCGACGTATGCATGTGGGAGGTAGTGGCCAAATACTGCACCAGGGTGGCCAATCCTTCTCTTGTGAAAGAGTACGTTCCCGGCGGTGGTTACCGGTGAGGCCGCACCCCAGGCCTCTTAATGCAGTTCTATCACCACGCGGATTTATTTTTTTATCCGGTTGGGATCTGCGCGGCACCGGGATTTGAACCACGGACCTTTTGCATGCGAGGCGGATGCTCTAGCCACTACGCCATCGCTGCACTATTGATTGATATGTGGGGTTTACCGTCCCAAAACCATCATATGATTATGAGAGACGCCGTAGTGGAGGGATCCGGAAATGTCGACCACCTGCGGTTCTTTACCGTGCACCCGAATCTGAGCACACGGGCCCGCAACATTGCCGCCTCTATCGGAAATGCAGCCGCCGCAGCCGGGATTCGAGCCCGCAACCTGCGGCTCAGCAGCCGAGTACCTTCGCCACTAGACCACCGCGGCGGGGCCATACGTGTCATGTAAGAACATGACTACGAGCCACGCTCATGATGCGCTTGCGGGCGTTTCGCACTCTCTCTCTCGTCACTCTCTTGAGAGTGACCTCAGCACGCACTGCAGGCGAGGAAAAGAACACCTGCCGCTACCTCTGCTTGCTCCACTACCGCGACCGCCGCTTGCTACACGTCGCGCAACTTTGACGTCGAATATCTTCACGAACATATCAGCGTGCTTTTCACCCGTTACAACGGCAGTGGTAGTCAAGGTAAAATGTGCGCCAGCCTCTACGCCAGCCATCGCTTCAAACGAATATTCCAGATTTCACTGCAGCACCCGCGTTGGCACCGTTCAATCCGTGACGCCACTACGCGCAACGCTGCTGCTTCGCTTCCCATCAGGGTTCCCTTTGAGAAGATGATGTGAATTTTTGAATTTTCTTTCTGTAAAAGCGAAGCTCGTTACGGCTCACTGGCGCAGCTTAAAAATCAGGAGGGGGGAGGAGAACGGAGGAGGGTATGCTGTAGCGCTTCGAACTCTTCAAAATTTTCAAATTTCGCGCGTGTGTGTGTACAAAAGGCACACATAAAAACAGACGCACGAACTTGCGTAAAGTGTGATAGAATTCGCCCCACCCCCCTTCCCTCACTCACCGCGTAAAAAGTTTCCGGATGCGCTCTTGGCGGCTGTATCGTACGCGAAAAAGCTAGCGTCAAAATTCACTCCACCAATTGGGTGCACTGATCACATCCGTATAAAAGTATGCGCAAAAGGTATGCGCCGTTTAACTGGCGCGTTCTAGAATGTGCGGTTTGTTGGCGTTCAGCCGTTTCTGATATGACAGTCTGATATTTCATCGGGCGGACCTTTCCATTGGACGCTGCTGTTTCAATTTAGGCTGAATACGAACGCGTGATCACTATTGTTGGCCGTGGGAACTGAATTATTGCGCTCGTGAGCACTTTCCGAGCCTGACCACAGCGACATCAAGAGAACCTGCAAACTGCAGCCACAGGGAAGCGCTACATTTTTCAGCAGGGTGGCTAGGGGGCAATTGCTCTCAAGGTGACATAGCATATAGGCTCAGTAGAAGTGAGAACTGTGGCATCGTCTAAGCCTGTGCGCCATTCGTTGTCTGTTCGCCAACATTGGTTCCATAATGTTAAAAAATCGTACCGCCGCCATCATCCATAGTTCGTGGCCGGTTACATGAAACAAGTCAACGGTCAGAATTTGAGAGCAGAGTTTTAGGCACAGCGCTACATTTAGTTCACTCATTTGTACATTTCACAACGCTGAGATTTGGTCTCCCTGTCGTATTTCAGAAATATTAGCGGTTTGATCACATTACAAGTGTTTCAAACTCGTGATTTTTAATTACTTACGGCACTCTGCGTATACGCTAAAGCGTTGCACAAGGTGAGTAGATAATTTACTTACAGCCTGATGTTTCAGGATAATCGAGTCATTTAACTTTGCTTAATTGTGTATTGACTACACAACAGACTCACCTGTTCTTTAAACAATGGATGGCCAACAGTCTCCTGAAGAAGCCAACCTTAAGCCTGTGCAGCTCCAGGACAGTGTTGGCAGCCGCGTATCCACTGCGTTGAAGAAGAAAGATCTTAGGCATGTCGCCATAGCTAAAGACGACGGCTGTACGATGAGTGCGATCCCCTATGTAGGTAGGTATGTGTCCAGGTGCCTTCACACGTACGCTCTCATTTGCGCGCGTTTGTGTGTGCATGCATGTGTACTTTGAGTGACACGGAAACAGCAACAAAAAGAATGAAACAGCCAGAAAAAAATTTTCGTGCAATATAGACAAATAAACAAAATATATTTGACAAATGTCCATCGTAATGGAAACTTCTGCGAGAAAGAGGCGGCGAGAAATTGAACATGATAATACCCACGGAAGAAACCGTTAGACGATCAAGTTGTACATTCTATTTAGGGAAATTCGACAAAGAAGCGAAGGAAATATCATCAGGCTGATGATGGAAAAGGCGTAGGTGCATCCTATCCACCAGATGTGTGATGCTGCTCTCCACTTGTCACAATTTTGTGAAGTATTGTATTATCGGGACATTAGGATTTGACGAGTGGATACCTTAGCAGGAGCACTGTGGTGTACGCCAGGTCCGAGCTGGCGGCCAGCGTGTACAGGGTGCCGTGCCGCCATTGCCTGTCCACCTCGTGTTCGCCTGTAGAATGAAAAAGATATCCACATGCTGCAACTGATTAAAACAATGAATCACAAATGATGCCACATCAGAAAACGCAACTAGAAGATAGCCTGCATATAGTTACCGAAATATCGTTAATGGTTTTGCAAAACCGCTGTGTTTTTCGTGAAATAGTTCCGGAATCGGGATTGGGGTGGGGAGAGCGTTTTTAAAAGGAAAGAAGAGAAAAGTGAGCCCCGTAACTGTCTTTCGGGGGGAGGACACCTCAACAGTAGCTCATGAGGGATGCGGGTGGAGAAGGGAATAAAAGGATAGCATTAAAAGCTAGAGAAATAGAGAGAGAGAGGAAGGAGAGAGTAAGGCGGTGGGACAGGGAGCGACGGAAGTAAGGAGAAGACAAGAAAGAAGGACACGGTTGCAGGAGTCTGAGGACGGGGCACCACTGGTGAGAGCTTTTGTCAGCGACAGGAAATGGCGTAGGGCTAATCCAGTCGGCCAGAGCTACGCTGCCGTCGTCGTAGGGGACCGGCGGCAGAAGGTGGCGTAGGACCAACCCAGTCGGCCAGAGCTGCGCTGTCGTCGGAGATCGCGAGGGCTCAACTGGTTGGCACGGAATAGAGCGAGTGAGTCCGACCGTATCGTCACAGTCATTTGTCTGTATTAGAGGCATCGTGAGTGTGAATGTTACCATTACCTTACTGTTTTACTAGCTAGTGGTATGGACGGCAGCAGAGATTGCAGGGATTGCAGAAAGCTCACTTAAATCCATACTATAACTTGCCCTCCACCCAAGCCACAGCAGCACAACATCCTCTAGACTAGCTCAAGGATGCTGACCATAACGAGTTTATTTCCGGAACTCGTTTATTTACAAGGCAGCGATAACGCGAGCAAAATTAAATGCAATCATAAACATGCATTTGCTGGCACCTCTTCTGTAGCAACTCAATGAACTTAATTTTCAGCATGCCCAAGAGCTCCGGTACAGCTTCCGAATGCTCACCTGCTGAGAAATGCTGTTCTTTCGCTGTTCTGCATCTCTAGTAAATTTGACTTTGTTTGGTTATTAACACATTGCGATTACTCGGCACCGACTTTTGCGAGAAGCGCCAAAAAGATTGGGCTTCCAGCTGGAATTAATCGCTGTTAAAACTTCTGCGTTCAAATCATCGGGAGCTTCCTTCTATAGAAATACACAGGCCTACACCAGGAGCACTTCACCCGTTCAAATTAACAGTAAGTTCGAATTAACAGAGTCTTAATTAGACAGCTTTTACGGTAGTTCACTACGGATAGATGCTACTCAGCGAGAAAAGGCAGATGGGTATCATCTCGCTTGATATGTGATGAGTCGTATGTCGAAGGAGATGCTGGTTTCTGATATTTATGTACAGCTGTCCCTCAAAATGGTACGACTGTACACTTGCCGCTACTGTAGCCCTCTATACTCACCTGATCACGGGTACGTGTTGTGACCTGCGCTCGCGACAACTTTTCCGCATTAACAGGCCTATTTTATTTACAAAGAAACACTTTATACAGAGAACGCCAAAAGTTCGGTATCTAGATGTATTGACCATAGTATTTTTTTTTCATAAAAGCAGGTTTCACAAAGTAGTTTGATTCACAAGTACTAACAATTTCCCGGCGCTCATCTCCGCAGGTTTGTTGGATTCAACAATCTGTAGGCGACTCCAATGTTGTCTCTTGATCGTAAACACATGAACAAGATCTTTTTCCGGATCTGTTGGTTTCCTTCACTCGGTTCTCATCTTACATGGCAATTGCTTTCTTTGTGGGCTCGCTCCAAACAAACAAACAAACAAGCGAAAACAGACAGACAGACATACAGAAACAAAACAAACAAATACGCCTGTTCAATACTGTTGTCGTCGTTCACAGCTACTACGTGCGTGCAGGAGAAAGCAAACAAAAACATTCCCTCCTCCATTTTCTCCCCTCACAGCGGCCTTTCTCGGAGGTAAGGGGCTCACAGGAAAGCACTGCCGTCTTTGTCACATGGGGACAGCTTGCCGCCGAATGTTCACATGTCACTGAGTGTGTCGTCTGCATGAGTGCGTGAGCTGTGGTGGGGTGGGTGCGGGAAACGCTTGTGCTCATTTCTGCAGTCGTACATCTTGTTGCCACGCTTCGTGCAGAGCTTAAAGAGGCCCTGTAACACTATTGAAGCACCTATTTTTTTATCTGTGGCTTGCGTAGATCGATAGCTAAAGATAATTTCAGCGTGGGTATAAGCGCCGATATCAAGTGATTTAGTATTTTAATCCCGCAATAAAGTCAGTACATCGCTACCGACTACATTACCATGTAGTGGCGCTCGCCAGAACTTTGCGGACGGAAATGACGCCGGAAGGTTGTCGCCATGTATCATAGGATAAACGTAACGTTAGAAGCGATCGTGGTGTATGATCAAAGCTGAGGTCACTAATCTGTTTCATTTTTCTTCTCTGTGCTTTTTCATCAAACCCCGAAGAGACGCAGCCACAATAAAAAAGGTCACTGCAAGACAAAGCACGACAGAGGCGCTGGCTGCCAGTTCGCCAGTTTATTTTTGGTTTGCGCGGGTCCGATGTATATACGAAAGACCTCTCTTTTTCTTCCTTCTTTTTGCTTTTGGGAGTTTGCGAGCTGCCTCTTTTCGTATGTGTGCTGTTGAAGTGGTGCAGTGCAGCATTGTTGTTCGTTGGGCGGCTCACCTAACAACGTGCGAGAGCTCTACAACACTTCACTGTCTTGGTCGTTTCCCGAGTTTCTTTCTCAGAATAGGAGGAGGGATTGACTCATAACGTTGTAAAAAACAGCAGAATACCCCGCTTCGACACAGTAGCTCCCGCTCACGTTCTGACAAGCCAGGTGTCAGGCACCACGATTGTTACTCTGGCAACAAGGTCAACATGACTTTGAAAATAAAAAACAAACAAACAAACAGGCAACGATGGGATGCGAGCTACCTCTACGTAGGCGCTTCCAGCTTATTTCATTGAGGCAGCCTTTCGATGTCATGGGCGAGTAAAATGTGGTTAAGTGACCTCACAAAAATTGAGTTGAGGGCCAGCATTTTGTTCTTGTATTTTGAGTTTTCCAAGTCGAATAACCTCAGACTGCATGACGTTATCACTGCAGGTTTTGCTGCATTAGTCTGTCTGTACTTCAGTCTACGCAACCCCCGAATAAGACATAGGGAGTTGAATAGTGTCGAGGGCCCCTTTAACCTTATGCGTGAGGAGACAATGAGGGCAGCTATCGTCGGACCACGCTTGGCAAAAGTTGCCGACGTCTTTATTTTGCGCAGGTGATAGGTGCGGTGCGTCTTTAATAGCGATGCGCTTCAAAGCATCCCCCTCGTGCAGCAATTGACCATCTGTAAGCCGACTTCCGACATTGTACATGTGTGGCCTATTGTTCTATTGTGACAACGTATTTCCTTTGCCGGACTGAGAACACATGGACAAGGTTTTTTGCGATAGATCGCTGCACTTCGTGTTCGTGCACCGCCAACTGTGTTTGAAAACTTCGCTATCCGCAGTTTTAGCAATGAACCCTTCGTAACGGTGCTGCAGAAACTGCCAGCGCTCTAATGCTACGAATACCACTCTGCGCACGGGAGGCATCGTGAACAATGGGATACGCCGATGACCCCGTTACGATAAGAGAAGCAATACGCAGTGCACGAGTCAGCCCTGCATGTGCTACGAGAAAGCAGCCAGCGCTCGTGATGAAGGAAGTGTTATGGATGCGAGTGGCGCGTGATATCGACACACTCCGCACTCGCTCTCTCTCGTCCTCGTTCGCTTATCAATTTAGCTGAAGCCATCGAACAACGGCAGTGCCTCTAAATGCATAAGCGGGTGGCTAAGAGCTCCGCTTTCGGCCTAGATGCAACCATAAAAGACTGTGTGAGTTTTAAGGGCGAATCTCCTTAGGCCGTGGGTCGTGCGTCCACTATTTTTGTAGTAGTAGTAGTAGTAGTAGTAGTAGTAGTAGTAGTAGTAGTAGTAGTAGTAGTAGTAGTAGTAGTAGTAGTAGTAGGTAGCCACCTTCACGGTCGGACTGCAGGAGCGGCACGTGCGCGCTCTTTTGAATTGAGAAGGAAACCGGCGCACGTAAATTACAAATAAAAATATAGTTGTTTCTGATGGAATAAAGACGAGTATCGGTGACTTAATCTTCAATGAAATCTGCCGTAAATTTGATGCTTACTAAAAAAAAAAAAACTAGTAACAGAAGGATGCACTTTGAGCACTATCCGACCATAAAAGGTTGCCACGTTGAACTCGTAGGGCGTAACCTCCTTGGTTTTAGCAAGGTTTAGCGAGGGTTTGGCCGCACTGCCATGAACTAGCGGCGGTGAAAGGTGGGAACAAGGCGCGAAACGCTGGCCGTAGGAGAATGCGCGCGTGCCGCTCTTTTAGTCCAGCCGTGCCACCTCTCGTTTAGTCCTTGGAATGCCCGCTGGATAGCGGTACTTCTATATGATGAATATATTGTCACGTGAATACGGGTAGAACACAACGTATATTGACAGGAGCAGCAGCACTGGACGTCAAGCTGAACCGGTCACCAAGACCACGAGCACAACAACCAGTCTACCCTTTTGTCACAATGGCACATATATACACGCATTGGCATGGCTCAATCTCGTTCCATGCCCATGGCATTACCCCTTTCCAAAAAAAAAGAAAAGTACCGCCCTGATGCTCAACGCTGGTTAGAAGTGACCATAATCGCATACACGCACAAAAACGCATGATGGAGCAGTGTCAGGTGATTCGGGGGTAGCGTGGCTTCTTCCGTGAGACATGAATAATGTCCACCTATCTACTGCGAACGTCAAGATCACCGAGCTGCGTCTTCAAGCAGGACTTAGTAGTTGAGATCTGTGAGGCGCCATAGTACTCCTTAAGCACCGAAACAGCGGTGAAGTAATTTTTCCGAGTGGCCCTTTGGGAGAACGGGAATCCACAGCCACACCAGATCACCGTGTTGGTAAATAACAT